ATATATATCTTTTAGAAAGTTCTAAAAGCATGATGACAACACACATTCACACTGTGATATCCACAGATCCCAGGATGTTTGTAAGCAGTTTGTCAAGCATTCAGGCACTAAGACACTGAGTCCAGGCAGCCTGTCCAGGATCACTTGCAATGATGTGGGGGATGAGTGGCATCAGGTTTGGGGCTACTGGTATTTTGCTCCCATGCATTCACATTCACTATAAATTCATATCAATATAAACTTTTTAAATAAAATTTTCCACAGCCCTGGAAGATTCCTAAGCTTCTATTTTCTAATGGATTGTAGGCACTTTGGTGCCTACTGACAAAAATGACAGTTAGCTTTTGTGAGTCCTATGTTTTCTTCCCAAAAATGTTCCAAGTTTCTGGTGTTGCCCCTCAGTATTTCAGCAATATATTAGGATAAATTTCCCAGTTTGCTGACCCAAAGTTACAAATGAAGGCTACAATTCACTTCTATACAATCACTTCATATATAATTTCTGGTCTGATCCAACCTTCATATTCTCTAACTCTCTGTTTTACTGGATTGTGGTGAACTGTCTGATGTGCCTTCCCACTTGCTTATCCTCTGTTCACCTCACATTATCCCTTTTCATTCCAGACAAACTGGGAAAAAGAGAGAGAAGAAAAGAGACACTTTCCATTAATAGGACAGTCAGAAATCCATTGAGTAATGGAAAAAAAGTATTTATTTCACTTCTCAGTAATATTCTAAATGCTCTCTGTGAGTTGTTATAAGTGTCATAATACTGTCCTGTTATATACTTCTCAAAGACTATTCACAGTGGCTAAGCAGAACTTTATTATTATAAATAAGATGTCAGCATCCAATAAAGATCTTGATTCAGATTCTTTGAGATTAGGTGCATAGTAATCAATGTTGGATAACTGAAGTTTAGTTCCACTGATCCCAGTTGTAAGAAAGTTGGGATGTTTTAAGGAAAACAGAGCTGTAGAAGAAACAGGCAGACATTTTAAACTCATATTAATAATAATAAAATAACTTTTTGCACATGATTCCACCACAGTGCATTTCATACAAAGTTAAGCATTAAAACCTTGCTCAAAAAAACCTGCACAATGTTTGTATCTTCATACTTACATTCTGTTAGCTACAGCTGGAGAAAAAAAAATTCATAGTAAAAAAAAAAAAGAAACTACTTTATCATCAGACCATTAAGATAATTTGGAAAGTAGTTTCAGAACCATTAGAACAATCATGAAAATCTGCTGATAAAAATGTAAATGTAAGATTTCAAAGTCAGATTAAATCATGAAAGAGTAACCTCTTCAGGCCTTTTTATTGTTTAGAATTGTCTTCTGCTGCAGGCCTGGCATGACATCCAGTTACAGGTACTATGGCTCACATGAAGATAAAATAAATATATGCTTAGAGTGTATTTCATATAATTTTGCATGTTCCTAGTATATCTCATGCATCCTTACAGCCTGTAAGAAAACTTAGGGATGTCTCCTAGACTAATATCAAAATTCTATTTTGCAGAACTGTCATTTCTCAACATAATCTTATGGATCAGATACACAGGTAAAGTAAAAATTGTCCCATAGTAGACATATCTATGCAATAAAAGTAATGTAATACTTCTTATTTCCACTATGTCTTCAGCCACAGCCCTGCTGGCTTCTGCTGCACATGATTTTTTTACCGAGGTTTACCATGGGACGGAGAGAGGTTTCAGAAAAGGTTTCAGGAGAGGTTTCATCTTGATATAAGAAAGACATTTTTTACAATGAGAGTAATTAACCACTGGAACAATCTCCCGAGGAATGTGGTAGAGTCCTCATCAGAGTTCACCTTCATGACCTTTTGGAATGCTTTAGGCAGACACATTTCCTCTCACTCTAGCACCAGTGGAAAATGGAGTTAAATGTATTACTTATTGTTAAGAAGTAAGGTCTAGTGCATGTAATATTGTTCTCTGATAATATATTTGTATAATTTAGCTCAGTGTTATTTTTTTATACTGTTTCCAGTATCTTTCTCGTATTGTTCTAGTACCTTTTGACCCATGGAGCCAGAACCCCACTCACAATGCATCTTCTCACTGTTGTATGTTGTAGTAACACTGACATTTCACACTTTGTATTGTCCTAAACATTGTCCTAAACATTAAGTATACATAGAATAAGAGATGAAAATCAAACGAACTTACTAAAGGTTAAGGAAAAAACTCTGAAAGAAGATTGAGTGTATTCTATTTTAATTTTAATATTTCTTTGAAATATTGGAACTCACAATATGCTGAGAATTGAACATTTAGCAAAGCAGTCAATGACATCTGAATGGAAGGAAGTAAATTACAACATCTGGTCTGAACACATGACAGTATGGTTTTCCAACCTTGTAATGACACAGTAGACACACAGCACATCCTTGGCCTTTCCATCCATGGCATAATACTGGAAAGCTTTAATCTGCCCATTGCTGGGGATCTAACTTTATATCACAACTAGAATGTTGTGCAGCCTGCCATTTTTCTTACAAAGTGCATGTATGCATATGCCAGAGTGCATCCTGCTAAACAATCACTCAGCCTGAAGGACCAACAACTTCCACTGTATTTCACAGTTCTTAGACTGTTTGCACTTATGTGAATTAGTCAGCACAGTTTTTCCCCATTATTTTCCATGGAAATTTAGTAAGAGTTTGGGATACTTGGCAACATGCAGAATCCTGCAAAATGCACATAGTTACTCCCTACAAGCAGAGAGACATCCACTGAAGTCTGACACGAGACTGAATGTAGTTGTTTTTTTTTTGGAGGACAAAAACCAGTCAGTGCAATGCCATAAACGTAATACATTTATTGATGCCTTTTACTGTTGTATTGTGAAAATGGTGTATTCTGAAGTGTGCAGTAATACATAAATATTTCAAAAATAAAATAATTTGGCTTTTGTTTTATTCTGTCTGGCTTCTTAAAAACCAAACAAAACCCAACTGTTCCTAATTTCAGCATGATGGGAGAGACAATGACCTTTCTCAGGCAACAGCTAAGCTCCTACAACTTGATTGAGCCCTTCCAAGACAGAAAACAAAGTCTGAATTATGTCAGTCTCTTCAGACAAAAAAGTGCAAACAAATCTCTTAGAAGGCAAATTCTATGAGGAATCTCACCAAATCAGTGATATATGTGGAACAATATGAAAATGCATCCTGCTGAACTGTAGGTAGAAAACTAATCAGCTATTTTACAATTAAATGACATAATTTCAATGCGATATTAATTTTCTAATCAGATTCACCTTTAAAATGCTGATTTCCCAGCTGCATGTTACAGAATATTGTAAATGACTCTTTTCTTTTTCCTGTCTAACATGCCATGATATGAACATGCTACTGTGGAACTCCAAAGACTTATAGGTTTGTTTCTTTATTTATTGTTCTCTTAAACAGAGAATTAATATTGTTGTTTGCCAATACCTGTTAGGTAAAACACTGCTTGGCTTTTCTTTAGAGTAGAGTGCATTTCTAGTGTGGAAAAATAAGTAATATATCTAAATGTAAATAATAAATCAAATTCAGCATCTAATCACCTGGTGAAATTTTCAGTTGTTCAGTAATTTGAACAGCACATGCTGCTGTAAGATCTGCTTCTACATAAATAGTGTTGTTAATATTGTTATAGGCCTGTAAGTAAATGGAGTGCTCAGTTTTCATTATGCTTCATAAAAACTGCTTAAGCTGCTTTAAAAAACCTTACACATATTTGCAGAAAAGTTTGTTTTCTAATTATATTGTTAGTTTCACATGTTGAGAGAAATGTCTCAGCTATCTATTTCATGCATTTGTGTCTGGACTTGGATTTGTTTTTTTCATGTAGAAGTTGATAAAATTTCTGAGCTCAAATCTTTTAAGAGTAGGATGTCTCTGCATTTGAAATGACATGAGTACAGGAATTCATTCTTCTGACAACCTCTGTTCTGCTTTTGTAAGAGGTAAATTCCAACTGAAGGAGATGTCAAATCACGATGAAGAGAGGCTTGCCTAGGAAAAAATAGTGATAATTCATGACTTACAGTAATTCAAATTCAAACCCACCACTGTGTGTGTACTAAAGCAAAACATCATTAGATGTATACAAATTAAAGTTGCCTTGGCCTTAATTTTTGAAGTTTTTATAAAAGCAAAGTTGAGAAATAAGTAGATTTGATGCTATGCTCTACAATATCTTAAGGGGAGAAACATTATTTTCTAGCTATGAATGTTCTTTTTTTCTTTAACCAAACTGCATAGTCATTTTCTTTTGGATTTGTTTTCTTCAATTACACTATTATCTGTTTGCACAATTTCTCAAACAATGTCCAATACCTCCTTCATCTGCATTTACTCTCTTGCTTTGTTATTTTTAGTATTACAGGTCTTGAGAAGCTATGTGTCCTTAGTATATCCTGGAGGCATTTGGTAGTATCATATACTCAAAATACATATGGTGTTTGACTGATAAATGCATGGACTGTCAGCCATGGCGAATGCAGCATTGCTAAAACAAGTATTCTGGACCCTTCCACAAGTGAAGGTAGTGTGGACTGTTAACAGAGTGTGGAAGTTATGTTGACATGAGCAAAACATAGAGTAAATCTGCACTGCAGTGTGAACTATATATAGGCACTCCAGCTTCCAGTGAATAGTAGGATAGAGACCTGTGTGCTGGGAAAACGAATAAAATCATTTTTACTTAAACTGCAAAGTATATGTGACAGTATAGGCTCTGTCAGTATTCCTTTGGATGTATTCCCATGCTTCTACCATAGGAGGTAGTAGTACTTGACATCCACAGGTGCTCAGATAAGCCAAATACTCATTCACTAAAGGCACCTAACTAGTTCACTGTGCCGCTCTGACGCTAGGTACTCCTGATTGCTGAGGTGGGGAGCGTAACCTGCCGGTGCCCTGGGGCTCCTTGCTCCCCCGCTGGAGAAGTCCCAAGTGCCTTCCCTCAGCGGGGGCAGCCGTGACCTGAGGCATTACGCGGGGGAGATGGAGAACAACAAGTGTGCAGCTGAGGAAGCCGGGTGCTGGCCCTTTGGAGCTGAGGGGCTGGCCCAGGACGAGGGGCTTGGCTGCGGGAGCAGGACGCCGGGACGAGGCTTGTCCTCGGGATGGCACGGGACGAGGGGGGAGGCTGCAGGTGAGCGGCGGTGGCAGCGCCCGCGCCTGGCCGAGAGGTGGCGCCGCCCGGCCCCGGTTCTGGCGCGGGGGCGGGGGCCGGGGCGGCAGCGCGGCCCGGGCCCGGCTGTCAGCGCCGCCGGAGCCGGGGGTGCGCGGGGCGAGAGCGTCCCTCGCTCTGCCATGGAGCCGCAGGCACGAGGTGAGTCTCGTCTGGACAGAGCCCCCCGGGGCGGCGCGGGGTTTCCGGACCTTCCGCCACCGGGGGCTGCCGCTCCCCCCTCGGGAAGGGCCAAGCCCGCGCGGGGGCAGCGGGAGTTCGGGGCGGGGATGCCCGGCGGCAGGGAGAGCCCGAGGGAAGGCGCGGCCCGGGCACCGGGCGGTGAGAGGAGCGCGGTGCCCATGAGCGGTACCGTGGGAGGCTCCTGTCACCACACCGGTGGTGGCGGCCCCGGGCTCGGCCGGGGAGCGCGGCACGGCCCGGCCCGGCTCGGCCCGGATGCGTCTTCCGTCCCGTCCTCCATCCCAACCCGGGCTTCCCCTGGCTTTTCTTATGATTGAGGTGGTGGCGGCCGCTTTCTCCTCCTGCTGGCTTTAGGCATTTCACGGTCAGGTAGCTGGCAGACAACTCCGGGTTAAGTTAGTCCCTTAAGGGTTTGGGGCTTCCTGGGTTTGAAGTAGTTTTGTGTGTCCTGCCGTGTCCTGCCCGGCTGTCCGTCCCTCCTCGGGAAGCTATTCCCCGGTCAGGCTCCAGCCGCTGCCTCCCGGGGCCGGTCGGGACGGTGCGAGCCCGAGCAGCATCGCCGTCCTCGTCCTGGGAGCTCTCGGCGTGCGGGAGGCACCTCCAGCAGCAGGGACCCTGGGACCGAGAGCTGCTTAAAATTGGATCCGCTGAAATATTTCTTCAGCTTTGCAAACACGGCATTCCGTTCGTTTAAGGTGAACATTTTCTATTGCAACAGTTAGGACTAACATACATACATACATGACTTTACACTCTGGGTAAAGTTAATTGACCTCCAAAGAACAAACTTTTCAAGCGAGCTATAAATGATGTTTGGGTCAACCTAAGGTATTTAGCATACACTGGTCTTGCTCACATTTATAATCTTGCTTCTGTTTTCTAAAGAACCTCATGGTTTCGCCACACGTCTGGAAGTCACCAGTACTAAGCAGGTGGTAGAAATATTTCTTCAAAAGCAGAGTGTTTAGAAAACATTTTATGTCATCTATAAAACAGGGAAATGAAGTAAGAGGGAAACATATGCTCATTGAAACTAACTGAAAAAATAGGCTTCCAGAATAGTTAAAAACTGCCTTAAACACATACACTAGAGAGACAACTCTTGCCTGCAAATATGGTTGTACGTAAAGGAATACAGCACAAAATTTGAGTTCATGATGCTTGTGAAGGAGAAGGTGTTTCCAGCAAGTGTGGTGTATGTGCTGTCCTAATGGATACATGGCTGAAGCTGCTTGGCAAAATAAATACATCTGTGGCTCAGTTCACAGGGTTTTTAGAAGTCAGTATTAAGGTTATAGAATAGACTGTTATTTAAACTAAACTTCTGAATACATCTGTAGAGCTACTATGATGGGAGCTCCTGTTCTTTAAACATTAACTTCATAAGATAAAGACTTTGATCATTTCTTGTTTTGTAGAACTGATGGGAAACAGTATCAGATTCTAATTAGCTAGATAGTGGTATCTGTAGATGTGATTTTTTTACCTTCTCTGATTAGCAAGATCAGTAAATAGGTTCTTAGTGCAAGTTAAAAATTCAGGTCAATAAATGTGCTTTGCTAGTGTATATTTGGGTCAGCAACTCTGTTACTTCCACAGGTCTTGAATAAGTTCTTCTTCTGGATGAATATAAAAGCATTTTGAATTGCTTCATCTTACCTATACTCAGTTTTAAGTCACTTTTTCTTTTGTTTCTCACTTGTGTGTTTTATTTCTGCAGTTTCTCAGAAGTCTCCCATTACTAAAACAAAAAATAAAATATTGCTTTGATAAACAAGTAGTACAAGCTAAGATTTTTGTGCTATATACTTGCATGCCAGAAAACCTTTGTTCCAAAATACCCTCTTCCTTCTAGACTTGAGTAAGTGCATGCTACTGCAGTTATGGAGCCTTGCTGGCAAAAAGAATTTAACCTGCATGTGTCTAATGCTGTCAAATTCAATTAAGTACATCTAAGCACTGGTCAGAAATCTGAATTTTTCAAACCCACTGTGCAATTTCCAGAGCATAGTTATAGGAGTTTACTAACAAAACAATAGCAATTTTCTTGGAAAAAAGTTCCACTTCAAATATCTGCTTAAGCAGCAGGAGAAACTTGTATATGTTTGAATGAGTTTATGAATTGCCTCTAAAAAACTTTCAGATGCCTACAGAGAAATGAATCCTAAATGGTTTGTTCCAGTGTGCTCTGCTGGGAGGTTGCATTCCAACTGAAAAGACAAAGTAAAAGCTATGCATTTAAAAGCAGTGTTGAATTCATGTTTAACAATTTAAAGATTTTATTCAGAAGGACTTTTCTGCATAAATATGTTGTTTGTGCCATTTTGTATTGTCTTTAAGGGAGGCTATGCCTGAGTAGAGCAATTTCATGTTCAAGAAACATGCACATGCAAGTATAAAATGTACATTTCTTCAGAGCAGGAAAATCGTTTCTGTCAGAATTTTTACATGGCAGCATGAATCAACCTTATAAATCTTAATGCAACTCTGGAGAAAAGTATTATGAGTAACTGTATCAAGGTACTGGGTAGAGGTCACAGCTAAACATCAGGAGTTTCTGTGTGGTTCAAGGCATAACATAATACCTGTCCATGCCCCAAAGACTGTGAAAGTTAAGTCCTTTGATATTTACTTTAAAGTAGTAGAGAGATTTCATGGACTGAAACAGAATTACTGTTATCCTTAAGCATATTGAATATGCCTTGCAGCATTCATGCGAATGAACTAGATGAGACAGTCAACCAGACAGAGTAGTAGTAGTTAAAGTTAAAATTATTTTCTAAAAAATAACTAGATGTTCCATGTAAGCAAATTTGTATGTATAATAAAAATAATAAATTTCACTTTACAGACAATGTGTCTTTAAGTCTCTGGGTGCTCTTCTCTTTGATTACTTTTTCTTCTTAATGGTCCTAGAGCTAGCTGGTCCAGGAACACACCAGCTATATTTATGCTAGGTGCTAAAAATTCCGTAAGAGCATATTTGTTTTCCTTCAAATGACTGTCAGTAATTTTTCATGTGAAAAGTTTGGAAGTCTGAAGAACAGTGTTTCTCTGTGAAAGAGAGGAAAATCAGAACTGTGTATTTGCCTCTCATCATACTCACTCTACTCCAAGTCCACATTAACTGACTATTCTGCGTAGTTCTGCTTTCTAGTTTAAAACTATGAATGTCCTTTAATAATGACAGTACAATGGATGTCTTAATCTATGTGACTTTTTAACACTGGAGCTTTGCTCATAAAACGTCTCTCTCCTTTTGCAATTATTCTCCCTTTCTTTATGTATCCAGATATAATCATACTTTCTTTCTCTGTTGTAACTTTTCTTGATTCTTACTCTGACAAAGCTTTGGTGTGCAGCTTTCTGCTCCCTTTTTCCTACCCAGGTAGCTCAACCAACTTCTTGCACTTCAGGCCTCCAAAAGGGTTTTTGAGGCATCTCCCTGTCCTAGCAATTCTTACAGCCGTTCGTGACAGGTGTTCTGCATCCTCAGCTAGTTGTGCATTGTAGCCATAGTAGCTTGCTGTGTATGCACTCATCTGTTGGGTATTGTGGTAAGAGCTGTGGTTAGTTCAGGTGATAGATGACTCCTGGTTGAGGCCTTTAGCACCTCACTTCTTCCCTCTGCTGTGTGCAGCTGACATGCTCCTTCTGTGGTCCTCAAGCTAGCTGCATCTGGCATGAGAGGTTACAGAGAGGCAGCATCGTGGGCATTAGCCCAGTAGTCCTCTCCCTACCACAGTGGCGCCTGCCACCTCACAGTCAGGTGGTCTGAGGTCTCCATGGTGGGAGGTAGTGCTGAGGAATGCTGTGAAATGGTGTACAAATGGCAAAATGGCATTGGCATCTTGGACAGCCTTCTCTCTCCCTCTTTCTCCTTGCTAGCTACTCATGTGGTTACTAATACATATAGGAATCTGGACAGAGGGTCAGCCTCATAGTGGGAATGTGAGGATAAGGAACACATGATGATGTTAGTGCAGCAGCAGCAATGCTGTGGCTATCACACCAAAGCAGGCCTGTGTTATGCTGGAGAGGGCAGCATCTTCCCTAACCTTGTGTTTGAGGTTGGTGGCTTTACCAAGGAGCACTGACCGTTTTGTTCTGTGTTCACGTTTCCCCTAAGGACAGAGCAAAACTGATGGTTTGGAGCTGATTTAGTATAATTATTTTATGAGAAAAAAAAGTGCCTGGCTGCACATGCTACTTGAGGCATCAGGATTCGTTCTAGTTATCAAGGGATTTGTGTTGTCTCCATACTGCCTTCCTAAGCTCACCATGGCCCTGCTATGGAAAGCAGGAGGTAAGACTTCACAGAAGGTCAGGAGGATATTGGTGTAATTGAACCACCTAGTGATAACCTGCTTATTTCACTGCATGGTGGAAGTTTCAGCTGCTGTGTTAATAAGATCACATGAAGAGGAGGTCAAGTGAAAAAGGTAGGGTTGTAATATTTAATAGGATTCTTAAATATTTAACAAGAGTGCACAAAGCTCCAAATAATTGCTCTTTCATGCTTTTTGTACTACAAGGAGAGAAAATACATGAGTGGAATGAGTTATTTGGTGTACATCAGATTTTAAGCAAGCAAATGCTTCTCTTTTACCCTTTGAACCTGTGCTGCTTTCAGCTTTATGACACGTGTCACAGGATGAAATTCAGTTTGCTGAGGCTGAGAAAATTTCAGTGGTTTCATGTTACACCTGAGAACTGAGAATAGAATTGAGATTTGAAAAAGATATATAAAAGAGATACCTTCTCTAAAGTCTAGGACC